CCTTTGTCCAGTCCCAGTTGTGTTTAGTGAAGGCATCTGGAGAAGCAGATATCGGGAACATTCTCTTATTCCCCTGCTTTTTCTCAGGCTTTGATCTTCTTCCTTTACATCTCTTATCAAGGTATGTTGGGGTCCAAATAACTATAGCAAGAGGTACTGTACTCTACTTTATCCTCCATAGGTCACAGTTGAAATCAGTTAGCATCAGTGTCTCTGTGCTGGCTTGTGGTCTGTGTTAGTCTTTTGGAAATGGGGGTGCTATAGCAGAGGTTATAATCGGAGTCCTTTTTTGAATACTTATAGAAGCCATGACTCATGTGGTGAAAACTGCAGTCACTACCACAGTCATTCACGAGGTAACAAGTATCCTGCCCATTAGTCTTGCATTTTTCAAAGAACAGATTATCAACATTGCTGTTGTGGGCTTGTTGTTTGTTTCTCTCCCTACTTTGTTCTGTTTGTCTGGCTTCTTGTGTGATGTCTAATTTTAATTCTCTGCTTACTTTTACTGAATTATTCTCATGAAGTAGAATATCTTGTTCTCCTAGTATTTCTTTGCTCCAGGCACAATAGCTGCAGGATGCAACTGAAAGTGCAACTGATTTCATACAGGGTAGTGTTCCAGATTGGTATGGAGGAGTCTGTCTCTTTTAGAGCTTGGGAACATTACTGTGCTGGGCTTACACCTTCCAGAATACCCCAGCCAGCATGGCTAATGCAAGGCTAATGGTCTGCTTTCAGCTTGGTGGGTCACAAGCCACGCAGAGCAAGTCATGAGCAAGACTCACTTCTAAACACTGAAGTTGAGCATGTCAGCTATTCATCCACTGGGCATTGTAGGTTGCTTGACAGTGATGAGACAGTTTCAGGTTTGAATTGGCTTCCCCATGCAAAGAACAGTTTAGAATCACTGAAGAGCTGGTATTCCAGCAGTCTTGCAGTAATAAGGCCAGCCAATGATGGACCGAATTCTGTTTGAATTGGAACTGAAAGGTGTGTCCTGTTGGTGAGTTGACAGCATACTCCAAAGCTGCTCGAGCCAGTAATCAAGCTGAGAGGCAGCAATTAGAGGAAGTGCCTCCCTAATTCTGGAACAAGACCAAATTGGGATAGACCAAATGTATGAATCATATAAAAAGTCTTTTAGTTGAGGCACTTAAGACTAGGTGGTAAGTATATCGTTTGATTTCTTGTTGCATGTGGAAAGCTAGCTTATTGGAGTAAAAGGGTTTGTCATAGTTTTCTTTCTCTTATATAGCTTTCCTCAAGTTGGGAGTGGTATGTTTTTACAAGAGGGAAGTATTTAAGTACTTCCCTCTTGTAACCCAATTGTTGAAAGTTTTCTATTATGTAATTCTGTTGTTTTTATAGTGCTATCCCATGTTGTAAGCCGCCTAGAGTGGTCTATCGACTAGATAGGTGGGATATAAATAAAATAAAATAAATAAATAAATAAATAAGTATGTTGCCCATCACAGTGAGTTTCGTGATACAATCCTAGTAGGATTTTTCTCCTTTGCTCTTTCTGCATAATTGAATTATGGTGGACTCCTATCAGAAACTTTATATAATGAACAAGAGTGTCTATGTGTGTCTGCAAATCTGTGTTGCCAAGGCAGGTTGTGTGTGGTGATCTTTAAGTCATCCAGAGTGTGCTATTATGGAATCCAAATATTCAGTTTTCTTTTCACTGTATCTGTCCTTAATTACTGCAAGACAACTGGATTATATATCTTGAACTTTACATAAATGAAAAAAGACGTTTTTCCCCCCAAGTTGAATCTGTCTCTTGATATTGCTTTCAATTTATACTTCTTAAAGTGACTTTCTTAGGTGAGATGTGTCAAGGATCACTATGCTGAGTAGGTTGAAAATCTTGGGCCTAAATTTTTTATCACCTGCTCCCCTCATCACCTATATGTTATAGCCTCCTAGAAACATAGCAGGTAAAAATGAAAATGTTTTCATCATGATTTTATTTAGGGAAGCTCTGCCTGTTCACTGTCAAAATGGAAACTTTGCTATTGGCATGTAGAAAAATACTGTCCTCTCATCTGTAAGTCACTGAAATGAACTGAAGAATCTGTATCTGTTTCAAGAACTAGTAAGGACATGCTGCTTGTTAAATTTCTCTCACTTGCTTTAATTTGAACGATATAAAATAAATATCTTAAATTCAGTCTGTGATTGAGTGACTTAATGTATAAATCAGGATCTTGCTTATACATCTGGAGAAAAGTTCGCTATAATTTCATTCAGTGACCAAACGCTGACCTTTTGGGACAGGAGTTTAACATGTCCTGCAGCTTACTGGTATATATAACAGACATACAGCTCCCAGGTGGATTCCTCTAGCAATATGTTTAAGACTCAAATGCTGCAAAAGGGGCTACAGGAACAGGACAGGGTGAGTACTGAACTGGATTCAAAATCTTACATTCAGAGTTCTTCTTTTGCCATTTCAACAGTTGCCATAGAGAGTAGTCCTACAAAACTGAATCCTAGGAGAAATTATTGCATTGAAACAGACAGCTGTTGCACTTTGCCCTAGCATAGAAGCCTTGAGTGACTGCACCAGCACCAGAAAAAAAAAACCCACTCTTCCCATGTTTGGAAGGGTGTTAAAAACTAGATAAAGTTCATAGAGCAAACCTAGCTAGTAGAGAAGTCAAATTATGAACACAGCATTCTAAAATCCACAGTTAGTGTATATGAACCAACCAAAAGGTCACAAAATAGCAAGGAAGCATTTGACTTCTCCAGAATAGCTAAAAATTTTTAAAAGAAGTTTTTCTCACTCTGCATCCTAAGACTTACCGAATGCAAATTTTTGTGGCTTTAGCCTCAGCTCAACTTCCTTGCTGCCCCTTTCTCATTTGTTTAACATCCAGATGGATGGTTAAAATACTTGCTTACTATTTGAGGACATCTTAGTAGGTCCTCCTAAATGTCTGGATGTGGATTTTCATTTTTCAAAAATCGTGTGGACCAACATAGTTCCCATTGCTTTTCTTTGTCCAGTTAATTAACAAAAAGTGTAAGTTTACTTTTCAGTTCAAGTTTACTGTAGGATCAGTTTAGGCTTTACGTATAGTTTATAAGCAGAATAAATAATGTAGGTATAGACATGTAGTGGATAGAGTGATGGACTACGACTCAGGAATTCAGTGTAAGAATTCAGCTTTTACATATGCTTCTAAAATTAGAGTATAAGTTTACAAAAGTACCCATGGGTGGTGCTGTAGTGAGCCAGACACATTTATTCCCAAAAGAACTCAAACTATCCATATCTTCTCTTTAATGCCCACTTGTTATCTCTCATAAAAGACACAATTCCCATGGGGTTCCTTTGACTTAATCCCTCTTTTAAACTTTTCTGGGACCTGTACCAGATGCAGAGCTCCTGGTTTATCTTGGCTTCAGCAGAGTTGAGCTGAATATAGTCAGGATTACAAAAGTAGACTGAAATAGGGAAGCATCACTGTCCCTAAGTGTAGCACTTTACTTTTCTCCAAAGGAGTGTTTGGCAGCAATTCATTAAGATGGGAAATAATGAATGGGGGCATCAGTGTGGTAAACTTGCCTTGGGCAAGTTGATGTGAATAGAATAATTCCATGTTAACTCAGGTTTGTTATCTTGCTAACTCTAAATTATAAGGGGACATGTGGGCGACAGGTAAAAAGGAAAAAAGAAATTGAAATGTGAATATATACAGTGGTGCCCCACATAGCGAGGTTAATCCGTTCCGGATTAACTATCACTATGGGGAAAGTCGCTATACGGGACAAAAAAGCCCATTGGAACGCATTAAACTTCGTTTAATGCGTTCCAAATGGAACCAAAACTCACCGTTATGCGATGTTTCTCCATAGCGCAGGCATTTTCGTGCCCTCGGTAAGCCATTTTGGAACCGCCGAACAGCTGATTTTTAAAAAACGCTATGCGAAGATCGGTAAGCGAAACGCTTACCAATCATCGCAAAGCGAGTTTTTGCCTATCTAGGCATCGGTATGCGATCGCATTAGCGATCCCAAAAAACAGATCACTATGCAAATTTGTCGTTAAACGGTGCGCTCATTATGCGAGGCACCACTGTACCTCTGACTGAGATCCCTGTGGGTGAATTTAATATTCTTGAAAATTCAGGGCATTGCCAACTTGCTCTGCTTGTGACTGTTGCAAAAGCTGCCAGTGGGGCAGCTGAGTTATCCAGTGTGAGAAAAACACAAGCTGCACAAATAGATTTGTTTAGCAAGATATATACAAATATTATTTTAAAAATTGTTTTAGTTCATTTTTCTATTTACAATAGTAGCTTTTAATAATTCCAGCTCTGGAAACCACCTTTAGGCTCAGCCTAAAATGTAGGAAGCTTTTTTTTTTTGTGGGAGCCAATTCCCCCCCCCCCCCCCCGTATATGCCTTTTTTCCTATACAGTGGTGCCTCTCTTGACGAGGGTAATCCGTTCCAGCAAACTCACTGTAGAATGAAATCCTCGTCAAGTGAGATGAAAAAGCCCATTGAAATGCATTGAAAACTGGTTCAATGCGTTCCAATGGGCGAAATACCTCAGCGTCCAGCGAAGATCCTCCATAGGGCGGCCATTTTCCGGTGCCTGTCTTGCGAAAAAGCCTTCCTAAACACAGCAGGAGACCATTTTAAACAGAGGGTGGCCATTTTGAAACCCGATGATCAGCTGTTTTCTGATCGTCGTAAAGTGAAAAATTGGTTCCCGAAGCAGGGAACTGATCATCGTAAAGCGATTGCAAAAAACACATCGTTAAGCAATTTCCTCATCTAACGAGGTAATCGTCAAGCGGGGCACCACTGTATATGGCCGTGTTTCACTGTCTTCTGTTTTTCCTCCCTTCTCTTTCATGTTTTCTTAACACATTCAGATTGAAAAATAGCAAGTGATGCTTCTGTTGTGAAAAGCACAGATTTACATAAATTTCTTAGTAGCAGTTACTACAGTTTTCCTTACCTATTTTTCTGCTTTACCTGTCCAGGTCAAGCTGGGAACTTCCAGATTTGAGAGAAGGACGTGTAAAAGCTATCAGTGACTCTGATGGAGTGAGCTACCCCTGGTATGGGAACACCACAGAAACAGTGACATTGATTGGCCCTACTAATAAGGTCTCCAAGTTCTCAGTTAGTATGAATGACAATTTCTATCCTAGTGTGACATGGGCAGTCCCTGTGAGTGACAGTAACGTGCCACTACTGACCAGGATCAAACGGGACCAGAGCTTTACAACATGGCTGGTAGCCATGAACATGACCACAAAGGAAAAAATTATCTTGCAGACTATAAAATGGAGGATGCGAGTGGACATTGAAGTTGATCCCATGCAGCTCTTGGGCAAGAGAGCCCGCTTAGTGGGGAGAACTCAGCAGGAGCAGCCTAAAATTTTGAGCAGAATGGAACCCATTCCACCCAATGCACTAGTGAAACCCAATGCCAATGATGCCCAAGTCCTCATGTGGAGGCCCAAGAGAGGTCTGCCTTTGGTAGTCATACCACCCAAATAGAGGACCTCCTTGACTACAGAAATGGGGTTTTTGTCACCTATAGTATGTGTACCTGAACCAAAGAAGACCTCTCAAATTCACCTGCCTTTTTTTAGCTGCAAGTGGGAAGAGGGCTTCTTCAAGAGAGTATTATATGCCAGTGGTCATGGTGGAATAGCTGAGTCTGTGGACTTTGGAAGAAGAACTTAGCACTGTTCCTCAACTTCAAGAATATTTTCATGAGAAAAGTGTCTTTCTTCTCTTCAGTGAAATATAATAATCAAGAATTTTATTTCCAGTGCCTGTGGCAAATGCTGCTTTCCAGCCAGTTGGATTTGGAGGCTATTCTTACCAGACATTCACAGACTTGTAGTGTATTGCCTACTTCTGGGGGATGGGTCAGGAGGGGATGGCATATTACTACAACATTATACCTATGCATTTTAATTGATAATCAGAATTATCGCCCTGCTTGTTCGAGTGAAGAAAATGTTTATGAAGAGGGAAGAATGCTGTCTATTCAGCTCACTCTTGTAGAAAGAGCAGTGTGTTCCCCTGGGAACTGTCCATGGTGCTGAACTAAAGCACAACCTGAACTACCAATAATACTATCCTCTCTTCCTCTTTCTGGGGATAATTTTACAGACAAGTGGAGTTGAGATCTTTTGCATGTTTCTCAGTGTGTTTCAAGTAGTTTTAAACATAGGAGTTTTGCCATAGTTAATCATGCTCTGGGGAAAATCTGCGGTAAATCTACTGATGACACCTTCTTATTTTAAAACCTTTTTTTTTCCAAACCATAATTCCCACTTTATATGAGCAAAGTTAATTGACAGTCCAAGAGATATCTCCACGTAGCATGTTTCTCCATCCTCAGTTGGGAAAGGGTTATAGGTTATATTTCATTTAAGAGAGTGATTTTGTTCATTGACAGCGATAAAAAGCAGAAAGTTCCAGACTCCATTAGATATTGGTAGTGGGGAGCATTAGAAAACTACACATGTCTCTACTGTTCTGAGTTATGAGTTTTTTGCCTGTGGATTGAGGGAAGTTGCATTATCATTATGCAGAGAAAGATGAAAAAAACATGAAGCAAACAATTGACCTGTTACATGAAGGGTAAAAGCTAAACACTTAGAAGGGTACATAATATCTATGGGCTGCCCTATGAATATTCTTGCCTAAGGGGGAAGGAGTGTGTATGTTTGTGTACTTGGCCATCTTCAGTCTGACCTGGAAATTTTTAGATCTTTCCACATTTGATGAGGAATACATGATCTCATTGGGAAATTACTTTCTGTTTTAATTTGCTTTAACATTTGTTGATAGATTGCAGACATCTCTGCTTGCTGTAGTGATAATGGCATAATAGAAAAGGTAAAGTGTCCTATGCATATTTTGCCAGTGAAACCTCCAGAGGTGTGCTTTCAGTTCACTTTGCTTACTACAGTGTGGCTGACCTTCAAGCAACATTTGCTATGGCAACCTGGGAGGAAGAAAATAGTGCAGTTTGTTGTAGATCCGGATTTTGCTTTTTGGTCCTGCAGCAGTGTAAATGGAACTTGAACAGCCTTATGAAGAAAGTAAACTATGTAGAACGTTTTTTTAAAAAATCCTATTGATTAATTCAGTTGCGAAAATAATGTTTGTTCATATTACAGTAGCTTCAGATAGTAGCTGCTGTATAGGCAGGCACAATAAGTAATTTATAGTGTGACTTGCCCTTTTCAGGAACTTCTGGATGCAGAATCTGCAACAGTATAGCATATGTGGCCTCCTTCTGCTATTCCCACCAGAAATCTATGAGTAGCACCTAGAAGCATGGAAGGTAGTCATTCTTAAGTAGAGACCAAAAAAAGTATCTTTTTGCATTAAATTATCAGAATCCCACACTCAGTATGGCTGGCAGCATTCATAAGTGAGCAGAATTGGAACTCCTAAAGGCAGTAACACATCTTTCGTATTTGTTGTTTATCATCTTTCTCCCTATCTCTTTCAGGTATAAGGTGCTCAATTATCAGTCACATGTCATGACTTTAGATTACTGGTGTTCAGCATCAGCTATTCTTTTGCCATCAGGAATTCTCTGTTGTGTGATGCATCTATGGAGAGTGGTAGAATGCTTGCAATCTTACTAAAATGGCTTTGCTGTCTGTGGCATTGCCTTTTTGCATCTATCGTCTGACAGCTTAAACTGCAAGTGCTCCTTAACAGTATTATTATTATTATTATTATTATTTATTTATTCCATTTATACCCCGCCTGTCTGTTCATTGCAAACACTCTAGGCGGCTAGTATTAGCACTAGTTCTGGGCTTCATCACAGTGCTGAATTTCTCTACTCTAAAATAAGGTGCACAACATGCTTCTACTCTTCCACAGTTGCTGCCGTTGTTCTATCATACTTCCTTTTCAGGTTTTTTATGAATATACAAATCTCTGCCTCCATATACCTAAAGTCTTATGCAGCTCTTGACTCTACTAGGTAGGAACAGAGAATGGCAGGCATATTTCTTGCAGTCAGTACCCTTGGAAGATTACTAGATAATATATGGGAAGTCTTTTTAGCTGTTTGAAACTGCTGTATAAAAGTTTGTGTTTTTATTAAATCTTGGGCCTGCAAGGAAGTCAAACTTTACTAAAATTTCATGTTGACTGTGACCACCTCGATGAGGACTTTTTAGAGTCTGCCATCATACAGTTACTGACAGAGAGAGAGATTTACTGCTATGTGATCTGGTATAAAATCTGTTGCTCCACACACTAGAAGCAAATGTAGCATTTCTGCTGAAAGTGCTAGATCATGTCTATCCCCCTTTCTGCAATACAAGTAGGTAGGATGCTGGTCTGTGCTAATTAAACTAGTCTTAGCTTTTGATAAATTTTTCACTAGGAAGTGCTGGATGTCTATAAAAGGAGGAGAAGCACCTGCTTCTAGAATGCCATGTTAATCCTGTCTTGATGAACCGTGTGATGGGACTTGCTGTAGTGACATTTTGACACGATGCACTTCATCTTCTAGATTCTTGAGGGGGGGAATGAGAAGAGTCTTGGGGCAGTGTGGGACATCCTAATCCTGTGCCTACTAAATATTGGTTGGGCATCCCTCTTGCCATTTTTATTGATGGATTGCTGTTTATACTTCAAGAATGCTGAATGGTGAAATTTAGGCCAAAGTCTTCCTTCGTAGATTGCCCAGCTTGCAAAGACCGTGCCTTTGCTTGGGATTAATTTTGGTCTCTATTACCTCAGCAAACTACTGTATCAGCTAAATTAGAAGCTGTAATGCTCTGGAGCAGTGGTTCTTAACCTTTGTTACTCGGATGCTTTTGAACTGCAACTCCCAGAAACCCCAGTCAGCACAGCTGGTGGTGAAGGCTTCTGGGAGTTGCAGTCCAAAACTCCTGAGTAACCCAAGGTTAAGAACCAGTGCTCTGGGGGACTAGTGCTTACTTTCTGAGAATATTCAGCACAAAACAAAGCATAGTAAAATAACATTTAACATAATTAGAGGAAGTTTTCTGATTTTCTGCAGTTTTTTCTAAGCAAAAATTGGAAATGACTTCATAATTTTAGCATAGTTATTACATTTCTTTTCTGAAGGACATTTTAGCTGGTCATTTGGAATGAGTGATCATTAAGTGTGAAAGTAACTGATGTTGTAGTAAAAGAGGGAAACAGTCTATTTTGAATTCTAGCATGGAATATTCCACCCTCAGCATACTCTTGATACTGGCATTAGACATCTTAAGTTAACGATAATCGTCCTGTTTAGTGTATTTTAGAGAAACTGAATTGGACAGAGGTGTACAAACATTTATGTTCAGTTTCAGATGTAATATTCTTCATGAGTTCCCCAATTTTTAAAGGTTTGTTCTATTATTGTAGATAATGTCCCAGTATTGACACTTTGACAGCCCGATGCGGACAAACTAGTTACAATACCACTTTTTGGAGGTTGGGTCTTAAAGATGGTGAATGATGTTATCCATTAGAAACTTCACTGAAAAAAGCATGTGGGATAAATGAAATACCGTTTCCACTGAAGACTCTTCACACACCTACAGCCAATCTCTGGTCCAGGGTTGCAAGCTAGGAAACATACATCAGTAGTAACAGAGTACTGATCTGATTGAGGGTTGATATACCATTAACGTGGGTTTATAAATATATATTAATTTTATTTTATTTAACTTTTATACCACCCGACTTAGTGAGAATTCACTACTCTGGGCAATGTACAAATATAAAAATTTGAACACAAATCTAAGAAGCATGATAAGCAAATATTCTGCTCATCAGAGAAAATGTAGGGCTGTTGTCTGGCAAGCATGACAAAGGTAAGTTTCCCATCTACCTTTGAAGCTGCAGAGGTGGTCCAGTAGCTTCACTGTGAATGGCCGCCACCTCTCACTTCTAAAGTGGGGAAAACTGGTTTGGCATCTTTGTGGCCAGAATGTCTAGAATATTTTTGCAACACAACCAAATCTCTTGCCTTTTCCTGCCTGGACCAAGAAAGGTGGGCAGCATAAGGTTGGATGCTGGCCCCTGGAACCATTTGGGGTACATTCAAGTGTTGGTGTCCAATCATCCATCCTCATCTTCTGTCAGGAAAGGACAGGCTTTCCCAAAGAAAAGGAGAGGGGGTTGGATGCTGGTAGCTGTCCTTTTTAGTTTTGCCACCAAGGCCACCTAGTAATTTTACACCCATTATTATAAAGAGCAGTTGACTTAATTTCAGCATTTAAAAAAAAAACCAACCTCATATATGTATATATCTGTTCAGGAGTATGCACCTCTCTTCATGCTTTTAAAAAAGCAACATTGCTCAAGTAAAGTCAGAGGTAGCTGTTAAGAATGCTCACCTTATCTACATTGCAGAATTTCACTGTTCTTCCAGTATGAGAAAATATCACGATACATCACAAGCCAAGCTTAAAGTGTAGGGGGACAAGATAATTTGCAAAGGTGAGGCTAAGAACATCCCAAAGGCATTCAGAGTATATTGCAGGAATTAACGTTATGGATTATTTCTTAAGGGTATACAACCAACACTTTAGTAAGTCTATGTCTGTGTGTGACTTACATCTGAGAGAGAGCCACAGAGTGCTATCTGCTTGGTCAGTTATCCTTGGACATCTCATGAGGCCTACAGCCCGTGCACTGGGATATGTTTTTATTACTGGTTTTAAACAGATAATAAAGCAAACTATGTTGCAACATGCATCTTGATAGCACTGATGAAGCATTTAGCAGTGGATTACTCAACTGTTCTTCAGTTCTAAATGGGTATTGAGTATCACTGCCACAAGCTGGGCTGTTCCAATCTTGCTGAGGCAAACAATTGTAGAAAATGGGTAAAAGAATCTGGGGTCTTGGGAAGCAAGTCAGGAAGGTGCTTAAGGAGCATGATGCCTTAAATAGTTACATTGGCCAGAATCCTGCTGTGAAATTTGATGCAAAAAAAAAAAAAAGCTGGTGATGCCATAAAGCATGAACTTTAAACTTTAATTTAAACTTTCTTATCCTTCTCCTCAAATTCTGAGGCTCCATAGGGAATTTTTTTCAACCTTTGGGAATCTTACAACTAATGGGGAGCCCCTTGATATCTGAAAATTGCTGCTGGTGGTTCTAGTGCATCACAGATAATGCCTATGGAGATTTCTTAGTTTATGGCAATTTGTTTCCCGAAAGTACACCTTTTGCATAACTCCACAACAGGATTTCAGCCAAAGAACCCATTCCTAGTACAGACTTTGGCTTAGATACCTTAAAGATGTGGCTTTGAGTTTTGAGCCACCGTCTACCTTAAAATATTAAAACTGTGGCTATGGAAGACCTTCCTTTCTATTCTTCTCTGTTGGTTTTGGTGCACTTCAGTTAGATAAAACATTGGCACAATGGAAGATAACCGCATTTGCAGTTTCAGGTTTTGCCTTGAGAGCTGACTCATGAGATGAGGTGTCCATGGGTCCAACTCACTCTGCCTTCCCCTTTCCTTCTGGGAGTTCCTCACTTGGCACATTTTGTTGGATCCCATTTTTAACTGGCGGCCTGCTATAGTTTGGATTCAGTGAGGTGATTTACAGAGATCTACTGTAAGTTAGATCCTATCTTGAGAAAGGGAATTATATTTTTGGGGCCCTTTCAGCCTTGCCATCTTAAAACAGCTGCCGCTGCCAAATGTGTGTGTGGCATCAATTGACCATATCCTGTTTTGATGTGGTGGCTCCATCTCCTAAAGGGTCCATCATCTTTACTCTCAGGGAAGAATATGGAACCGGATCATAGAATGGGAATTTTAGCAGATTTTCTCCACACACAGAACTGGACTGAAAGCTTTTTGTCTGGCCATTTTCATACTTATTCCTCTGCGCTGCCGGATTGTAGCCTCCAGTGGAGATGCTGGCTTGGAAATTCCAGGCCAAAGACTCCTCTTGTAGCAGGCTGGGCTGACTGGCTGCAAACAGGACAAGGACAAGCTCCTGGTCTATCTTCACAGCTGCAACTAGTGGATAGATTCTCATGAACTTTGGCTTTCAGATCAGGCACATCGTATTCTGGAGTAGAAGCACCATCTCCTTTAGTTCTCATTGACTCACAGAGATATGGGGTGACATCACAGCAGAACGGTCACTTGTCCTTTTGCAAGAAAGGGGCAACTTCACTAGACTGTGCGTTGCCAAAAAAGAACATCCCCCCCCCAGCTGCATTCTGTGTAGCTTCACACCAAATCCTGTGCCTGTGTTAATGTACTACATCAGGGGCATAAGTACTGTGGATTGTGATGTTTCAAACTGCAGATGATATTGTATATTCGGTTTATTTATTTATTTATTTGATATACTTATTTTAATTGCTTTTTCCCTTCGCGTGTTTCTGCCTTGGGCAATCTCCTGAACAGAAATGTCCCTAAAGTGAAAATTGTACATTAGTAATGAAAGAAACAGGTGCATATACGGAGCAAGAGAAGCCTTTCTCACATATGCTAGTCACAGTCTTAAACTCCCATCCTGTTTTTGATTCTCCCTTTGCAATGTGATTGGGAGCTAGGAACAAAAGGCCTACAGAGCCAGGGAAGGGAAGTGTTGAAGAGTGTTGCATCAGTTCTCTTCAGTGAATTGCTCTCTCTTTTCCATACATTGATCTTCTCTTTTCCCCAGCACCCTAATTTTTCTCCTTTCTCCCTTTGCAACAGTTTTCTTTTGACTCCTGTTGTAGGTGTTACCAGTTTCCAGAGATACTGATAGGAGCAGAAGTTTGTGGATGTCACTTTAGAAAGAAAAATCAGGTGTTCTGCTATTTGGAGGGGATTGGAAGGAAAGAAGAGGAAAGCTCATTTTGCAGAGTGCCTTAGAACAACACTGACTTTAATTGGGGGTGGGTGGGAAAGGGCGGAGGGCCATTGCTCTTTATCTCTGGATTTTAAAAATTCTCAATCAATGTTGCATTCCATTTCTCTGGGATTTTAAGAAATTGTTAAATACATGATGTACTGCAAACAGAAGGCTGTTTCCCTTTTTTAATGTGGGATCGGGGAAAGGTTAAAACTGTGGTTGACAGAGTCTCTGGTAAGAACATTTGAGGCAGAAAATAAATCCACTGAAAATCATGGTACAATCATCACAAAAACCATTATATAGATACTATTGTTTTGGATTCTCTGTTCCTACCTCAAGATAATCTCTGTAACAGCAGTGTTGTTGTCAGGAAGCCTGGCTAGAATCTACACCATGGGTAAGCAACTGCACAGCTGTTCTGCAAAGTGCAGGAGGGTTGGGGCCTTGTTCAGGCTGATGTGACTGAGGAGGTTTCTTGTCTGACCCCCAGTCAAAATGATGCACTGGAAAAATGCAAGGATGGTGGAATAGAAGAAAGGAGACATGTGATAAGAATCTGTGCCCTACCCCTGCATCTCCTTGTGACCGGCATTAGTACACAAGTGCGCATGTGTGAGCTCTGCATAGACAAGAGACGGGCTGGAGCGCCACAGCTTCCCACCGAGCAGAATGGGCTGGTCACATCGAAAAGGCTGGCACCCCTGTCTCGCTGCTGATGCTCGCCGCGGCCGCTCTGGATACCGCTCGATACTGGATGGTATGTAGAATGAGGTGGGCAGGCATCGGGATGCTACTATGGGCACTGGGCGAGCATCAGAAGGCCACTATGGGCAGCTATGTCTATCCCAACTGAAGTGCACCCGGCGTATAAGACGACCCCCCCCACTTGGAGGCATGTTTTTCAGGGCAAAAAAGTAGTCTTATACACCAGCAAATACAGTAGATACTATTGTTTTGGATGCTCTGTTCCTGCCTCAAGATAATCTCTGTAACCGCAGTGCTGTTGTCAGGA